GGCTGTTTGGAAACAATATTTTTGGTCTTCCCGTTCTGCTAGTTACATCTATTTTTTCCATCGTCGTCATCTTTTCTTAGGATCTGACCAAAGTAAGAAAGTCTATTTTTTTAAATCGTAGAATCTAGAAATAACTAACTTTCTTTTTTTCAGCACATTTTTTTCTTCTTTTATTGGTCCATGGATTTCTCAAAAGTAGTCGCCAGCACCATAGTTCAAACGCATTTACTTTTGTCTGCTTTCTTAACCGCCCAAGTTTCTTCACATTCAACTACGGTGAGCACTAATGTTTAAACCAGCTTTATCATAGTAGTCAAGAACTGTTCCTTTGACCTCTAAATTTTAAAAGGACTGGTCATTGCCTTTTGTTTTAAAATTATTCTTCGTTAGATTTCATCACTGAATTCACCTTTCCCATCATCTATTGATCCAAGAAAATTAAATTCTTTGACGATTTACAAATCTTCCCTCTCTACATTGAAAGTTATTATATAACAAATCCATAGATACTAACAAATTGTGCTAGAATTAATAAAAATCACTGAAAATTTTTTAGTATAAATAAATAATTAAATAGTTTAAATAATGTCTATTGAAAAAAAAAACAGCAAAAAATTTAAAAAATATTTCAGCGAATTTTTGGAATAAAGATTGGAAATTACAAAATATTTGAATACAGTTACAACGTGTTATAATTACTGAAAAAATCAAATGAAATCAAACAGCAAAAATATTAACACTGAAGATATTACATAATCAAGACTAGATCTGAATTCCTAATATTTCAAAGTATTCAGCTTCTTATGATACTAAAGGACGATTTCTTTAAAATGCGATTAGTGCATTTTATTGTGTTATATTTTAATCTGTATTTTACTGCACATGTTACATTTTTCTAGCTAGAATCCATTCTAGAATAATTACACCAGATGAATAGTGTGTCTCAAAAAGTAAAAAAAATAACTGATTGATAAGGATGCTGATATAATAGAAAACTGTTCATGCAATTCAAACTGATCTATAAAAAAATTTGATGAGATACCTACAATAACAAAAATTAAATTTAGGCTCTTATGTTTAAATGTTAAAAATAATTCGAAACGAAAAACTGAAATTTAAAAAAAAAAAGTAAATGAAATTGTCAAAAAAGTTTATAAAATATCGTTAAAAGTTTTAAAACTTGTTTTCAAGTGAAACGCCTGTTTATAAAAACTGATTTTCCACTTCGGCAAAAAATGTATACATGCAGAAACTGTTTGGTGTGTATGCAAATACTAAAATTTTGAAGCAATCGATAAATTGAATCTGGAACCGTTTTCAAGAATAACTTTTTTTAAAGTTTACAGTCAATAATTTGATTATTATTATCGAAAATGAAATAGAAAGGATTAAACACCATGATTTATCAAATTTACTCAACAAAAACAATAAAAATAATAAGGATAATAATAATAATAACTATATTAATAATAATAATAACAATAAGGATAGTAATAATAATAATAATAACGATAATAATAACACGAGGTTTATTACATATTGACATCTTGATTATTGAATTGATTATCGTTGTCGATAGAATTTATAATAAAAATTAATTCATAGTTTGTTTCATTGTTTTAAAAAATAAAATAATGAAAATATGACCCAAAGCTTGAAAAGACTTGTGAGCGTACGGAAAAGCAGGTTCGTACGCCCGGCAAGAAGGGCGTAACATCTTTTTCGCCCGGCCCATACATTCCAATCCTGAGGTCGGTAGAAAATATTGTAGAAAGGCGACTCCCGGCTAAGAAAGTGACCGCCTAGACGAGAAAGCCGAAGATGTGCGGTATCGAGCGATCGGTGGCATGTATGGTACGATCGCCGTCGCGGTGTGGACAGCGACGACTACTAACGTGTCGACGAAAGAAACGGTAGGGGAGAACACCACGACGACCCTCGCCACGACGACAAAAATTCTACATTATTATGTTGAATACAAATGTTGGCTCAGAAAAAATACATGTTGTGGTTGGTCCTCATGGGATAGGTGAAAGAAATGAAAGAGGAGAAAGTTGATTGAATGGTGTGTTACAAATGATTAAATTATTACCAACACCTGGTTTGATAATCACCTAAGGAAAAAATATACTTGGAAGAGTCTCGGAAACAAAGTAAGATATATGATTGATAACATTACAACAAATAGACGATTTCGAAATGCTGTTTTACAATGCAAAAGTTACACTGGAGCTGATTGTTGCAGTGATCATTACCAAGTTGTTAGTAAAATCAAGATAATGCTAAAAAAAATAAGAGTGAAGAGGCCTTAAAACGTTTGAATTTTGTCAATCTGTCACAAGTATAAGGTCAATTATAAGGTTGAAATGCGTAATCATTTTCAGTTATTGACGGAAGACGTAAATAAATTTAAATATGAAATATTTAAAGATGCCCTTACAGAATCAGCAAAGGAAGTTATATCTGAGAAAGAACGAAAAATTGGTCATAAATGGATGACAAATGACATCGTACCTCTGAAGGATAAACGAAGCAATCACGATAGTTACAAAAGGCTGGACAAAACAATCAAAAAATTTGCATAGAGTCATGGGGAAAGGGGAAATGGTTAAATGACAAGTGTGAAATCATTGAGAAGATCAAAAACAGTAATACAATGCAAGGTATAAAAACATCAATGGATGTATAAAAGCTAAATCCGGTGAAGTAACCTTAGAGAAAGAAAAAGTACTTGAAAGATGGACTGAATATATTAACGATCTTTTGGATGATATCCGTGGTGAAAAGCTATTTTTATTATTATTCGAAAATTTGTATAGCGCTAATTACAAACAAAATGTTTCTCAAAAGCACTATATAAAAAAAACATTTGAATTGCTACGATAAACTAAATCTTAAAATCTTATAATGAAAACAAAAATAATTTCAATAATTTCTTGAACAATTTTTTTGTCAGTTCGGGCTGTCTTAGATGACTTGGTAGACTATTCCAAACGGCTGGTCCACATACTGAAAAACTTCTCTCAGCCATTTTCAAGTTGGTTTGGGGCACACATAACAAGTTGCTATCATCAGACCTTAAGCAGACATTTTTAAAAGACAGTTGTTTCGGTGCATGCATTTCTTTCAAATAAACTGGCGCCATTCCCTTTATACATTTGAACATGATTGTTGATATTTTGAACAAAATTCTTTTTTTGACCATCAACCAGTGCAGTTCTCTGAATATCGGGGTGACATGGTCAAACTTTTTCGCACCAACCACGATCTTAGCTGCCCGATTCTGAATTGACTGAAGCACAGATAACGATTTTTCAGGCAAACCATAAAATAGGCTGTTGCAGTAATCCAGTCTAGAATGAATAAACGAATGCACTAAACTTTGAATAACATCTTTGGTTAAGCTTTTGCGGATTATTTTTAATTTTCGCAGTTGTAGGGTTGCAGTACCAGATAAAAACTTAATATGTTCAGTCATTGCCAGTCTAGAATCAAAAATGACACCCAAGTTTGTAGCTTTGGAAATGAAGTTTATATTTGAGCCCTCAATGATAACTGAATTAATTTTAATTCTAGACAGCTGTTGCCAAGTTCCAACCAGAAGAATTTGCGTCTTACTTTGATTGAGCTTAAAACGATTATTTGCCATCCATTTCTCGATCTCGACCAAACATTTAACAAAACGATCAACTGCAAGATGAAAGTTGCTATAGGATTCTGTGGCGAGTAGCTGAATATCATCTGCTAATGCTTGACACTTCAAACCATGTAATCCGATCGCCTCAATAATTTCAGAGGTGTAAAGAATAAACAAGATCGGTCCGAGAACCGAGCCCTGTGGAACACCAAATCTTATCGTTTGAACCGAAGAGGTCTTATTCTTGTAGATTACCTGTTGAGTTCTGTTTGTTAAGTACGACCGAAACCATTGTTCGACATAGCCAGTTATTCCAAATCTATGATTAAGACGTTTCAGAAGAATGCATTGGTCAACACAGTCAAATGCCGGACTCATATATAAGAATCCAAGAAGAGATGGTTTACTGTTGTTTATATTTTCATGCAACTTAGATAACACATGCAACAAAGCAGTTTCGGTAGAATGATGTCTTCTATAGCCTGACTGATATACCGGTAACAAATTGTTTTTATCTAAGTGTTTCATAAGCTCCTTAGAAACTAATCTTTCAATTAATTTTGACAAGAACGACAGATTTGAAACCAGTCTATAATTATTAAGATCAGAATTGTCTAATTTTTCCTTTTTCAAAAGAGCAGAAATTTTAGCATGCTTTAACATAGCCGGAAACTCACCAGTACGTAAACATAAGTTTATAAGATCAGTCAAATATTTTGAAAACAATCCTACATATTTTTTGAAAAAGTGTGAAGGAACACAATCCAGTGAACATGTTTTAGATGGAGAGTTCAAAACTGCTTCAACAATTTAGCTTTCGTCATAAACAGGAAAAACTGAAAACAAGTTGCTGCAGCAAACACCAGATGAATGATTGAACTTCTCATCATACACCATCGATTCTCGTACATTTTCAATTTTGTCATAAAAGAATGTAGCAAAATTGTTCGCTTCAAAATTGGTAGATGAATTTGAAGTTTTTTCTTTGCACAACAGTTTATTTACCACAGTCCAAATTTTTTTAGGATTTTTGTTATTTTCAAAAATGATTTTTTTCCAAAACAAATTTTTTCTGGGCGAATAAAATACTTTTTGATCGCAGAGCATTTTTCCACACCTCCCTATCGTGATGATTTAAAGTCTTTCTGTACTTTCTTTCCATTTTTCTACAGTATGCCTTGGACTTTGAACAATCTCCATCAAACCACGGCGTCAACGAATCATCTCGACTTTCAACCACGTGTTCTGGAGCTATTATGTCCGCAATTCTCTTCAGTTCATTCACAAAAATCTCAACCAGCGTTTCTATATTATCATCTTGGCATCGGGGATTTCGAATTTAACAATGCGAGATTTTCTTCATTTATGCGTCGCCAGGATCGAACCACTTTTTTACTTCTCGTACCTATACCTTGATTGATTGACAAACAAACCTGGATTAATCCATGATCTGATAACACTCCACTGGGAAAAATCAAACTATTAAAAATAGGAAAAGAGCGAGAAGTAACGATCAAGTCCAAAACACCACCTAATTCATGCGTTGGTTCGTTAATCCTGTTAACCAACTGAAAACAATCGAAAACCTCATTCAGTGAGACTGTGTTTGGATCATCTTTTCTCTCCATATGAACATTAAAATCTCCCGCAACAACGATTTTATCACTTAACAGAGATAAAACTTCTAAAACATTCGCTAGCTCTGAAAAGAACGATGGTGAAGAAGGAACCGATCCAGGTCTATAAATTGATAACAAAATAAAATCAGATTTGTTTACTTTCAATTTAATTGCAACAGCTTCAAAAGTTATCACGGCGGGTAACTCAACAGGTTTATAAATGAACTCTTTCTTGAAATAAATTATAATTCCGCCATGATATGGATCGTGAGGTCTGACGTAATCTACAAACTTATAACCAGGGGGCATCGCGCATCGAACAGCAAACTCATCTGACGACCCATGCCATGTTTCAGTTAATACAAGAATATCCAGTTCTTCACAAATTATATCACACACCATTTCATATTTTGACATTATAGATCTTATGTTGAGGAGCCCCAGGCCAATTTTTAAATCATTGTAATTTTTCATGGTTAATTTTTGAGCTGTAGCATGAATCATCCTCCGACTGGCCCTCCAGTCAACAACACTCTCATCAGTTAATTTCTGAACTTCACAATCCGCCATCTTCCCACAGGACCTCTGACTCTGTATAAAAAATTGTCTTTGCATGCCGCTTCTTTCGATTTTGCATCAGCTACCAGTTTCTTTAATTTACTTCTCTGCTCAGGTGTCAGATCATTGCTAATCCAGACTTTACTCAGTTCGACCGACATTAATTTCAATTTGTGTGCATTTTTCATCACGGTCTCTTTAGACATCAAACTATCCAACACTATCAATATTGGACTTTTGGATGATTCATTTTTCTTTCCAAGTCTTGTAACATATTTTATATGTGAATCTTTTATATCATCAGACAATTTTAACAAAATATTTTTAACACGAATTTTATCATCTTCACCTTCTTGTATGCTACAAATGATCAGTGAAGGAGCGATTGAAATGAAGTTTATATGTTTTGTCGATTACTCCAAAGCTTTTGAAACACGTGAAGCTTATTGAAATATTGGAAAATTTGGAAATTGATGAAAAAGACACGATAATTATCAAAAACATCTATTTGGACAGAAGAAGAGCGATGAAAGTTGGCAACAAGATAACTAGTTTTGTCGAAATAATGAAAGGTATTAGGCAAGGCTGTGTAAAGAATGTATTCTCTTCAGACCTGTACAATCTTTATAGTGAGATCATCGTGAGAAAGATAGAAGATCTACCTGGAATATCCATTTAAGACGTGAGTTTTAACAATGTAAGATATGCTGATGATACAGCTCTTATAGCAGATTCAATGGAAAAACTGCAAACAATTGTTTTCAAAATGGTATTTGAAAGTGATAAGAAAGGCTTGCCAATTAACATCAACAAAACAGAGTGCATGGTTATCAGTAAAAGCAAAACCGCCCCAATCTGCTCCATAATCATTAATGGTAAACAGGTGAAACAAGTCAACAGCTTCAATTATCTCGGAAGTCTGAATACCTCAGATGGTAGATGTGATATGGATATCAAAAGAAGATAGCTATGGCAAAAGATGCATATTCTAAAATGAAAAACATCCTCACCAACAGTAAAATCAGAATTAAACAAAATTAAAACTGTTAGGATTCTACATTTTTCCAGTGCTAACTACGGCTCTGAGTCCTAAACAATTTCTAAAGAAATGACATGTGGTTTTTGAGAAAAATTATGAAAATTAGTTGGACTTCCTATACTTCGGATGAGGATGTATTAAAACAGTTCGGTTATGAAAGAGGAAATTACTACAGATAATCTGACGGGGACAGTTGAAATTTTTTGGTCACATCATGCGGAAGGAAAGAATGGAAAAACTAACAACTACTGGAAAGATTGCAGGGAAAAGAGATCGCGGTCAACAACAAATAATATTTGTGAAGTCTTTGTGTAACTTGTTGAATATCACCACATTTCAACTACTGCAAAGTGTTAAAGATCGGGTTTTGTGAAGGTCGATGGTCGCCAATGTCCTGAATGGACGAGAAAGAAGATCTGGAAAAACACTTAAATTGATACATATGCCATTTAAGCACAGTTTATTGTGGGAGATTCGTAGTTGCAGTAACATTTGAAATTCTAAAAAAATTCACGCGCTAAATATTTGCACACTTAATGGAAATGATGTTCAGTTTGAAAACATTTTATTAAATGTAAATAAAAAACATTACAACAGTTCTTGTTCTACTCAGGAACACTTTGTAGCCCATTGTTTTGTCTTGAATACACACAAACACACATACGCACGCACACACACACACACACACAAACATATATATATATATATTTATATTTACAATATTCTATAAATTCTACCGAATGTTTGGCGTTAATATGTTTGTAATTCGTTTTTTCGATTTTTCTCACTAACGTCAAAGTTCATCTTGACAAAGTCAATATTTTCCTAA